ACAACAGAATCGTACCCCTGTTACAAACAGAATCTTACCCCCCCATTAACAACAGAATCGTACCCCTGTTACAAACAGAATCTTACCCCCCCATTAACAACAGAATCGTACCCCTGTTACAAACAGAATCTTACCCCCCCATTAACAACAGAATCGTATCTCCAAACAAACAGAATCTTACCCCCCCATTAACAACAGAATCGTATCTCCAAACAAACAGAATCTTACCCCCCCATTAACAACAGAATCGTATCTCCAAACAAACAGAATCTTACCCCCCCATTAACAACAGAATCGTACCCCCGTTACAAATAGAATCTTACCCCACCATTAACAACAGAATCGTACCCCCGTTACAGACGGAATCTTATTTAGCTCATACCTCTGTCTACATTGAGAGAACAGGTGATGAGTAGCTACCTAAAAACTGGTGGAACTGCAAGTCTGTGCCTATTCATGAATATTCCCTTCAAGGATGAGTGAGAACACACTAATCAAGATGTTCTCCGAATGGCATAAACTATTAATCAACCAATCTGTCTGCAAACTGTATTTGTGCTTCTAGTGCGGGAAAATCAGTCAACTGCATTGACATATTCGAATTCACAGATCAGAAAAAGATTTGAGCCTTCAGTTACTCTCCTGGACATTGAATGTGACCCTGTTCCAAGTTACCATTTAACTGAAAAGGCCTATTCTTCTGTAAATTCCGGTTAAGCGTTTATTGTTGCAAGGGGCAGCATGTTTGCCCATGTTTAAAGCAGTAATGTTTGAAAATAGCAAAGTGAACAGGGAATTATAAAACGCAGACCATGTCAGTCTAGACAGAGCTGATTTACACTTCATTGACAATAGGAATGAGCCATGTTTCAGTCTGTTTAAACACCTACTCTTTGGCTCAAATGGAATCCAACCAGTCTCAAAAAAATAAGTCAGCTTCTGAAAAAAGCGCAGTTGCGTATGTGGAGGAATTTACAACGCTGCTTTAGTGCTTTAACATATTTTTAGATGTGTCAACAAAGCTTAGTTATCCATGTGCAAATTTCTGTGCATGTACAGTTGCAGTTTCCGGCAAAACCTGGTAGATACAACAGGTGCAATTCTGCATATGTCATATATTACCATCTGACTTGCAGTTCAACTTATTTGGCAGTAGTAACCACACAGTTTGCCTGGTCTGGACAGAGGTAAAGGACAGAGTAGAAATGCCAAAAGTTATTCGGCAAGGTCACGCTACTCATCTTTGACCCCCAAGGTGATCTTCCTACCACGTACCATCAGGAAGACCACCCCTTACCGTCTCTGTAATATCACCCACTTTGATCCTGCCAAGCCCATCTTCTGCTGAAACCCTTATTCCTTTTTACTAATTGTATATTTGACTAATCCAGTGCACTCCAGGCTTACCTCCTATATTTTATCATCCATCACTGTGCTCCCTGACCTGCAAATTCTCACCTTTGATTTCAAATTCCTCCATGGTTGCACCCCTCACCCGCATCTCTGTGATGTCTTCCAGCCTCTCAACTCTCTAAGGTGCCAGCATTGGTTGAACTTTAGCTTTTGACCATCCCTGATCAGTGTGGGCTGTACCTTCAGGTGCGTTGACCTTAAGCTCTGGAATTCCCTCCCTACATCTTTCCAACCTGCTGCCTCACTTACCTCCTTTCAGACACACTTCCTCACCCAAGCTTTGAACAATCTCCTTTAATATAGCCTTATGTGCCTTGCTGCCACATCTTGCTTTATCACACACTGCTGAAACTGCCTTGAGATGTTTTATTGCTTTAAATTTGCCCCATAAATGTAAGTTATTGTCAGCACAGATGTCACAGAACTTTGCACTTTGTTGGATATGCCCAGTTGGAGTTTCTGTCTTACCAATTTCAGCGATACTGCTGGGATAGAGAGCACAAGCTCAGGAGTAATTTGTACAGGGGGCAATGGGGGATAAATCACAAATGGTTCAACCACCCTATTATTCACCTGTCATTTCCATTAAGGTCCATGGGAACGAAAATTGTTTGAGATGTGTAATGTGCAGGTAATTTAAAAGCCTTCAGGATGCCATGTTCCACGATCACCCAAAGTCAAAGATGTTTTAGCCTTTCTACCCCAAACCTGAAAGGAGGGAGATAACCCCAGGCCATTTGTCTCTCAGCAGCTGTCTCCAAATTTCATTGTCAAAAGCCCAGAAGCAGACCAGCTGCACAATATATTTGCTCTTTGGAGACTGGCAACAGAGACGAGAGTAACTACATTTAGCTGGGATTATCATGTTCTATCCTAATATTTCTCTGTAAATGTGACTTCAGTAGGCAAAATATAGACCACGCTCACTGTAAAAATCTGTTTGTTCTAAAGTACATTATAATTCTGTTGCCACATGCAAGCAAGTTATTCCTTCCTGTTACAAGAGGTAGAGGGGCAGGTTAAGGTGGGTGTATCAGAGTCTCTACTGATCCCTTTAGTTATAAATCGCTGACAGTCCCTATGGTTACCAATCACTGCCAGTTTCTATAGTTACAGATCACTGCCGATTTCTATAGATATCATTCTTTGCCTATCTCTGTAGTGAGCAGGCACTGCCTTCCCTTTAGATATCTACGCCTTGCCCAATAAGTATCAGTTTCTTCCTATCCTTCAAGGTGTGTACTAGTGATCAGGCTGAGAGCATGTTTTCTGCTGATATTTTTCCACACCCTGTCGTGTTGCACTTTTCCCTTCAGTTGCTCATGAAAACCTCTCATTTTCAACTTCAGTGAACCATGAGCCATCTGACAAGGGAAAGAATACATCAGGTCATTTGCTGTTACCTTCCCTGTGTGCTTAAAGGAAACACAAGTACCCTTCCCAAAGGATACTTCCGGTGTGTGTGACCATTATCACTCAAGATTCTCAGTTTTCAGCCATCACCAGTGAAAATGCACAGGTTTTCCCCTTTGGCGAGGGCTTGAGAATCTGAGTTGCACTTGTACAAAGGCTGGGACGATGTCCACTGAGGTTTCAAATGACTTCATCTGAGTCACTGGCACTCTATAACTTGCCGTGTTGACCATGATATCTGATGGTCGCCAAAGCTACAATCTGTGTATCTGCCTATCACTATGCTCAGCTCAGTTGGCTGGGTTGTCATGCCAACAGAGCAGGTCCAATACTGGCTGAAGTCACCATGGTCACACTTTCTCAACTTGCCCCTTGTCTCAGGTGTGGTGACCCTCAGGTTAAACTCACCACCAGGCGTCTCTCTCTCTAATGAGAGAGCAGCATGAGGGACTTCTGGAACTGTGGCACCTTTAGTTCTTTCACACTTCCTGTATCCCAGAGCTGACCTATCGCAATGTTTAACAATGCCATTCAGAACCAAACACCCAGGTAGTTTGTTTTCCCCTGGAAGAGCTATCACTTTTTTTTTAATTGGAGCTGATTTTGTCGGGGGTATTGCAGCTAAGAACTCAATCAAAAACAAAATAGCAGCAAAAAGGGCCATGCTGCTCATCTCTCCAGTGTCAGCTTCCAGCATTTATTGTTTCTCTTTCCAAAGCTCCTTTAAAAGCAATCGCAGAGTCAGCTTCCTTTAGTTTTGTGAAGCTAGTCCATGTCTTAGCAACTCTCTATGGACAGAGACTCAGGGAAATGGAAGTGTAATGGTTGTGCAAGTAGTCATGTAATCTGGAAGCAAATCCCACTGTGGCAGCAGGGGAATCTGAATTCAGTTAATTAAATAAATTTGGAATTAAAAAGCTGGGATCAGTTATAGCAGAAGTGGAACGACTAGATTGTTGGATAAGTACACCCGGTTTGCGCATGTATTTAGGGGAGGGAATCTTCTGTCCTTACTCAGTATGCCCTATGTATGTCTATGGACACACAGTGAAGTGGTTGACTCTTAGCCGCCCTCTCAAAAGGCCCAGCAAGTCAGTCATCAAGAAGGTGGTAGTGAGCTACCAATACATTCTCATGGACAGTTAGGAATGGGTCATGGGTTGGTCTTACCAGAGCTGCCTGTACCTCAAGTCTTTTGCTTTGCTGATGATGTTAATCCTTTTTAGATATCAACTCACCAAACTAGTGCAAATGGTTTTTCAACAATTTACCTAACCAAAGCCCTTCAAACAATTTCAGATCTTCTATTAATTCTCGTCTTAATCTTCTTAGCTGTAATCATCAGGGTGACCTTATTGAGGTTTATTAAATCATGAGGGGTACAGATAAGGTGAATGGCAGGTGCCTTTTCCCTCAGTAGGGGTTTTCAAGACTAGGGGGCATATTTTTAAGGTGAAAGGTGAAAGATTTAAAAAAGACATGAGAGGCAACTTTTTTCCACAGCGAGTGATTTGCGTGTGGAATGAACTTCCAGTGGAAGTGATGGATTTGGGTACAGTTACAACATTTAAAAGATGTTTGGATAAGTATATTAATACAAAATGTTTGGAGGGATATGGGCCAAACACAGACAGATGGGACTAGTTTAGTTTGGGATTGTCCTCAGCATGGACTGGTTGGATTAAAGGATCTGTTTCCATGCTGTATGACTCTAATAGGTCTACCAGTTGTTAATTTGAAGCCCATGAGCTCTAGCTTTGTGCTTGGAAGGTTATTGTAGTTAATTATTTATCAATTATGTTTGATTATATGCATGTGGAGGGCATTAATATGGATTTCACTTGAGCATGTCTAAATAGAACTCACTGGAACAGTGGCATAGTTGAGTTTGGAGGTACGTGCTTGCAATGTCTCACTCTGTAAATAAATGTGAGACTGAGTAAGTATTGGCTCGAATTACATCATCCATTAACTTGCTTTCTGAAACAAAACAACATAAATAAAGACCAAAAGTGCTGGAGAAACACAAAAGCCTGGCAGCATCTGTGGGGAGAGAAACAGATTTAATGATTTGAGTCCAATTTTAGTCTTCTTCAGAACTTCCGAATAATGGGCTCAAAATGTTAACTCCTTTCTTCTCCCACTAGAGGTGCTGCCAGACGTACTAAATTTCTCCAGCATGTTCTGTTTTTATTTCAGATTTTTAACACCTGCAGTACTTTGCTTTTACATAACATCTGTGTTGTCTGTACCTCTCAGTGGGTATGGGACTCATGTTGGCTGCAGCACCATTGCCAAGGCAAGTGATGGCTGATTGTAAGGGAATGTTTCGGAGCATACTACACTCTAGTTTGATTAAAGTCAGATGTTATCTTTGCGGTCAGTTTATTATATTTAAAAACGTACTTTTTTTTTGTTCACAGATGCTGATGAATGTGTTTTATTTGGACAAGAGATCTGTAAGAATGGCTTTTGCCTGAACACACAGCCTGGCTACGAATGTTACTGTAGACAAGGCTTCTATTATGATCCAGTCAAACTGCAATGTCTTGGTAAGTTTACTTCATAATGCTTAGTAACATTGAAAACATAGCACAAATGTGACCGTATTGATGTTTAGGTCACCAACAAATGAGAGAGAGATATAGATCAAGGTATGGAGTTGGATGAAGGGATTGGGGGTTTTTATAATGAACAAAAGTGTTAAAGATATTAAAGGCTTTGAGTGGTGTGGAGAGAAAGCAGGGATGTTGTGATCTGATACCGGATAAGCCGTGATTATATTGAATGGCAGAAAGGGCTTGAAGGGCTGAATGGCCTACTGTTGCTCCTAGTTTTGATGTTTCTAAGGGTAGCTGTGTGTACTTTGAATGCACACTGCTATGTAGCTGTTAAAATGGAATGGATACTCTGCCCTTGCCAGCCTGAAACCTCTTATACAGTCAGTTCTTCAGAGAAGCGAAGCACTTTCCTAAGAGCTGGGAATTTCATGTACTCATGCAAATTCAAGCCCCATTATATCAGCTCCGTTTCCTGAACACTTCCCCAGTCTTCCTTCCCAGTCTTCCTCCCTTTCTGCTGTGGAACCCGCGGCCCATGCTGTTTCTCTCTTTCTCTCACTCACTGACCCTTGGTCTCGCTGCCTCTCCCATTCCCACTCCAGACCCTAGGTTTACATAGACCTTGGGCCTGGCTGCTGGACTTTCTGATCAGTCTCCTGCTGATTTCCCTCAGCAGTTTTGCTGAGGCTGTTGGCCAGTTTTAATGGCACTATCCCTAACTTGTATAACATTTGCCCAATTATTTTAGTGAGATAATGTTTTTTTTCGCCACGATTTGAGAAATGATTCACTTCCAGGACCCAAATATACATCGTGGACATTCATAGCATGGTTAATGTACAGTGTTGAACTATGTACAAAGTAGCAATCAGAAGATAAACATACCAGTAGAAACAACTTTTTTTTATTCTTTATTGCTATTGTGAAGCTTTAGCTTTAACTGTTCAGAGGCATAATATTGAAAAAAACGCAGACAATAGTATGCAATGCTGGAAGTACACATCAGGTATAAAAAAAAAGAAGTGGACTTTTGGGGGTTGGTAGGAGGCGACTGGATTTACAGCGGAATTTTTTTTAATGATGTTGAGATCTATCGAGAGTTTTATTTGCTTCTTTCATCTGTAAGAAGCCAGGTCAGCCTTGTGTTAAACTCCAGGCCTAGGTGCCTTTCTTCCGCCCCAATGGCGGTGTTCAAACTAGGGCACAGTGGTTGGTAACATTTGCCCAGTGCCTCAGTTGGGAGCCCTATCACACGACAAATTGACAGGGTGAGTGCCACTGACAATTTAGTATTAGCCTTGGCCTGTGGCCCACATATTGTGAGCCTTGTAACAGTTTGGGAGGCAATGGCCTAGTGGTATGATTGCTAGACTATTAGTCCAGAGACCCAGGCGATGTTCTGGTGACCTGAGTTCAAATCCCTCCCTTGGCAGATAGTGGAATTCTTAATTTTTTTTAAAATTGGAATTCGATTTTTAAAAAAAAATTGAGAGTCTAATGAGGACCATAACATTATTGCCAATTGTTAGAAAAATTCATCTTGCTCACTAATATCCTTTAGGGAAGTTCCTGCCATCTTTACCTTGTCTGGACTATATATGACTCCAGACCCACACCAATGTGGTTGATTGTTAACTGCCCTCTGGGCAATTAGGGATGGGCAATAGATGCTGGCCTAGCCAGAGACACCCACATCCTGCGAATAAACTTTTAAAAAAGTTGATCGCTGTTCAGCAAACAAAACTGATATACTATTGGACCTCTGTTGTCCTGAAAAGTAAATGAATGGATAGCTCTCTCACTGCTGTCAGTACAAAGATCGACCATCTGGGATCACACTAGGGAATGAACCTAAGACCTCCCATGCTTCTACCACACTCTACAGTTGTCACTCGATGAGTTTACTTCTAAGATGAGTTTGTCATCTAAGATGAGTTTACTTCTTCATTACTCACTGTGGATGTGTAGGCATCAGTAACAAGGGTGGCATTTATTGCTTAGTCCGGTGAAGTGCTTGTCTTGTACTCTCTTGTCAAGGTCTCTCGCGGTTCCTGCACTCCCATTAGAGCTGTACCTTTTAGATGGTGAGATAGCAAGAATTGTGGATGCTGGAGTCAGAGATAACACAGTGTGGAGCTGGGGGATCACAGCAGGCCAGGCAGCATCAGAGGAGCAGGAAAGTTGGTGAAACATTGATGAAAAGGCAGCTATGTTCCTGGCCTAACACGGTGTAGAGCTGGATGAACACAGCAGGCCAAGCAGCATCAGAGGAGCAGGAAAGCTGACGTTTTGGGTCGAGACCCTTCCTCAGAAATCATGTACCTGTTCCTGGCCTGCTGTGTTCCTCCAGCTCCACACTGTTTTGACCTTTTAGATGGTATTGTCTCTCCCCATCCTTCCTTCCAGGTTCAGGAGGTAATGGGCTGGAAACTGTAGCGATGCTGTGCTCTTTCTCTCAAGCCAAACTGTAACATTTGATCAATATTCTTTACACTAGATATCGACGAATGTCAGGATATAGCGAGTTGCGTAAATGGGCAATGCCTTAACACTGAAGGTTCGTACAACTGTTTCTGCACACTCCCAATGGTCCTGGATCCTTCGGGGAAACGCTGCACGCAGCCTTTAGATTCCGATGGTATGTTCCCACTGTTGCTGTGGAAATGTTAAATGGCGAGAGGCTTGAATAAATATGCTAAAGCTTGTAGGAACATGCTCACAGTGCACTGGGGTTGCATTTCTGTGGGGGTTCTCCAGATCATCCATTAGAATGACCGCTGGATGTCCATGGCAACCGTGAAGAAATGGTGTAAATTATGGCCCAGAATTTTTGATGTCAGATGGTCATCTCCACATACAGACTCCCCATCAGAACAGAAGGAATTGCTGTGGGACTGGAGGTTCCACTGGGCAATTCTCCTATTACTGGAATCCTCTAATATTATGCATTTAAATCAGAATTCACAGGGTTCTGATGAAATTAGATAGTTTCTCAGGAAAAGTTAGTCGATTAAACACCTCTTCTAACTCTTGAGTAAGCATTAAACGGACCCAATGTTTACTTCCCCCACTCTGCTCCCTTAGACCACAACAATGGCCCCCTTCACCACCAAGAAATTGTACTGACTTCTGCCAGAAGACAACCCACCACATTGCTCCAGACCTGAGCCCCCCATTCCCCACTCCAGACCTGAGCCCCCCATTCCCCGCTCCAGACCCGAGCCCCCCCATGCCCCGCTCCACACCCGAGCCCCCCACTCCCCGCTCCACACCCGAGGCCCCCATTCCCCGCTCCAGACCCGAGCCCCCCATTCCCTGCTCCAGACCGAGTCCCCTTCCACCACCCTTTTCTTCTGAACCTGAGCCCCCTTCCTCTGCCAATGAACTGACTGCTCCCCCAACCGGGACCTGAGTGCCTCCCTTGCCCAACTCCAGACCCAATCCCTCTTCCCTCACTCTGGCAGCCTGTCTACCTGGTATCTTACCATTCTACCCACTTGGCCCCATACCCTCCCAGCACCCTAACCTCGATTTACCTCAGGTACTTAGCGTTTTGACAGCAGCTGTAGAGAGGCCGTTTGTGGGTCTGGACCTTTTATTACAGAGTGATTGCTGTGAGAAGGGGGACATGGCTTGACTTCCTCTGACAGTTCTGGTCTGTAAGAAGGCTGTCAGAATGGAAGTACGCTCCACATTTCTGAACGAGCCCTGATTGAAATCTCACATCAGAAATGTGGAACTCTTCCGGTGAGTCTGAAACAATGGGCAAAAGACAACCTGCTGAGAGTCCAATTCCTTGGAAAATCCAGCCCTGTATCTTTACAGATTCTGCGCAAATCACCTGCTGAGGTTTGGCTAGATTCTTGGCATAATATGGCTAGATTATGCTACTGTGAAAGGAATATTCCTCTCGTAGTTCTAGCTGTAGGTCTGGAGATGGGGATTATCCACATTCCACTCTCTGACCCATGTAGTAGACAGGCACATGGGGTTGTCATGGGAATCCAGTTCCATATATGGGTAGGTCAGCTTGATGGTATTCAGGATCTTCCAGGATGAACTTCTAAAAGATTCTGCCACATTGCTGTCCTTTAATGTGATTGGGTCACTATTAGTACCTCCCACCTTCCTACTCTAGCAGCAATTATTGCCCAGTATGGTACCCATCTTTCGTAAAATTTATTCTTCATAGGTCAGTATTTATTTTGCATCTCTAATTGTCCTTGTGAAAGCTGCCCTTTTGAACCGCTGCAGGCCTTGTGGTGTAGGTACACTCACAATGTTTTAGGGAGAGAGTTCCAGGATGTTGGAAACGAAGGATCACAAATATAGTTTCAAGACAGGAAGGTGGATGGCTTGGAGGGGAACTTGCATGTGATGTGTTTCCATGCATCTGCTGCCTGTGACCTAGAGTGGAGGGATTTCAGATTTGGAAGATGTTATTAAAGGAGTCCCGATGAGTTGCTGCAGCGCATCGTACAAATGATGCACACTGCTGCCACTGTTCCTCAGTAGTCAAGGGAATGAATGTTAAAGATGGTGGATCTGGTGCTAATCAAGTGAGTGACTTTGTTTTGGATGGTGTGGAGCTTCTTCAGTGATGTTGGAGCTGCACCCATCCAGGTAGTGGGGAATATTCCGTCACACTGCCTTGTAGATCGATTCCAAACTTTTTCTCTGCTGTTGGTATTTATATGGCTGGTTTGGTTCTGTTTCTGGTCAATGGTAATCATAGAATAGAATCATAGAATCCCTACAGTGTGGAAACAGGTCATTCGGCCCAACGAGTCCACACCGCTCTCTGAAGAGCATCCCACCCAGACCCATTCCCCTAATTCCCTGTGCCTAACCCACCTAACCTAAACATCCCTGGGTACTATGGACAATTTAATATGACCAATCCACCCTAACCTGCACATTTTTGGACTGTAGGAGGAAACCGAAGCACCTGGAGGAAACCCATGCAGACCCGGGGAGAATGTGCAAACTCCACACAGACAGTTGCCCAAAGCTGGGATTGAACCCAGGTCCCTGGCGCTGTGAGGCAGCAGTGCTAACCACTGAGCCACTGAGCCACCGTGCCACCCTTAATCCCAGGCTGTTGACAGTGGAGGCTTCGGTGATGGTAATGCCATTGAGTGTTGAGGGTAATTAGTTAGATTATGGCAGCATAGAATCACAGAATCCCTGCAGTGCAGAAATGGGCCATTTGGCCTGTCAAATCCACACTAACTGTCCGAAGAGCATCCCATCCAGACCCAGCACCCTGCGGTATCCTGTAACCCCACATTCCCCATGGCTAACTCACATAGCCTACACATCCCTAAACACTGTGGACAATTCCAGCAAGGCCAATCCACCTAAACTTTGGACTGTGGGAGGAAACCGGAGCACCAGGAGGAAACACATGCAGACACGGGGAGAATGTGCAAACTCCACACAGACAGTCACACAAGGGTGGAATTGAACCCGGGTCCCTGGTGCTGTGAGGCAGCAGCTAATCACTGAGCCAGTGTTTCAAGTCCTGTGAATCTCCTTCAGAACTATTCTGAAGCGGCTCACTGGACTTGTAATGTTACTCAGAGATAGTAAGAACTGCTGATGCTGGAGTCTGAGATAACAAGGTGTGGAGCTGGATGAACACAGCAGGCCAGGCAGCATCAGAGGAGCAGGAAAGCTGACGTTTCGGGTCTGGACCCTTCTTCAGAAAATGTTAACTCTGTTCTTCTCTCCACAGACTTACTCCAGCAATTTCTGCTTTTGATTGTTTCTGCAGTTCTTTGTTTTATTTTAATGGTTAGATTCTGTCTTGTTAGAGATTCTGTCTTTGTGTGGTGCAAATGTTACTTGCCTTTTATCAGCCTGAGCTGGATGTTGTCCTGGTCTCACTGCATATGGACATTGTCTCTTTCTGTATTCTGACATAGTCCCTATCAGAGTTTTGCAACTTGTACCAACTGGTCGCTGGCATTTCACCTGTAGGAAGGTAAAAAACAGCATGCGATGGTGTTAGACCTCTTTCTGACCAGAAAGAACAACTCGCAAGTTGCTTGCCATTTAGTATGAATGAATGAAAGAGAACTAAATAAATACTTGAAAAGAAACAGGAATGTGAAAGAGCAGAGGAATGGGACTAAATTGGCAGCTGTATCAAAGGCTAAGCATGTGGGATATGGAGCTGCTTCTGTTGTTGTATAATTCTTTGCTTCAATGAAGACGAGGAGGGATGATTTCCTGGGTTTGTTTCACATTGTAGCAGAAATAAGATCAATGATATTGTCGAATCATATACTCACAAAGTAACTCGTTTGATTTTTTTTGCTTAAGGAGATTTGGGAGTGTTCCTCTTGCTTTGGCCGGTCTGAGTTCTGGATCTGCGTTACTATGGCAATCCACTGATCCTTGGCACTGCTCCTCAGTTCTTCTTGTGAAAATCATTATGTAACAGGAACTAAAATTGTATTTTAAATCTGTAAAGATGCTGTCATTTGGAATTGAAGTGTTTCTCACGGTAGCTGAGATTCAGCGTTGTGGTTTGTTTTATTTTTGATCTGTTGCACTACCTTGCTGGCAAGCTTTCCAACATTTCTGTGCATGATGATGTCGGGCAGTGCAAAATTTCATTTTATTTCTTAGATATCGATGAGTGCCAGGATCCATCAAATTGCATCGATGGTCAATGCATTAACACTGACGGCTCGTACAACTGTTTCTGCACATACCCAATGATCCTCGACTCTTCAGGGAAACGTTGCATTGAGCCTCCAGACACTATTGGTATGTCCCCGTGGCAGAAACAACTGCTTTAGTTGGCATGGTTGCAATGATTTACATTCATTTTATACTGCAGATTATATCAGATGCCCCTTATTTCAAAAAAGGCTTGAATGACATTGACATCAACCTACTTAAAACTGACCTCTTATCTGTAATGTAACTTATTTTTTCTTCATTTCTCTATTCTGGAACTAAGGATTCTACCAAGATACCTTTGTACCTAAAATGGTGTTGTAAGTGGCGAGTTGTAAACTATTTGCTGTGCTTATTTGAGTACATGTAACAATAAAGCTAATTCAATTCAATCCAGTTCTTTCTGTGTCTCAGCATGAAATTCCTGACTGAGAACAGAAGGACCTTGGGATGTTAAAGGTGCTGCAAAAAATGCACATTTTTGTTATTTGGATGGGAGGAGGGGAAGGGAGACATGCATTTATCCAGTGGCCATTATGCAGCCTGTCCTGAATGAAACAACATTTTACATAAAGCTTCAGGGAAATCTGGCATTTTCTTCCTGCACCCCCTACCCTACAACCACAAAAACTCCCACATAGACTTTGTCAACTGCACTACGCTCATCTATACACCTAATCACCTTGAAAAACTCAGTCAAACCTGTCAAATATAACCTCGCCCTGAGAAAGCCACGTTTTCCTTGTTTAATCCTAGCCTCTCCACTTGTTGATTAATTCCATTCCTCAGAATAGTTTCCAAATGTTTCCCTACCACAGGCGTACAGTGAATAACAGTGCAAACTGGAGGAACTTCATCTTATCTTCAGACTATACATTTTACAGCCTTCTGGATTTAATATTGAGCTCAACACCTTCAAATTGTGAACCAACTCCCATTCCTTTTCTTTTAGCTTTACTTGTTACATTCTCTGTCACCATGTCCTGTCTCCCTTCCCTCCATCCCAGTGGCACTGACTGTTCTTTCCAGTCTGGCAGTTAGACACACCATTGTTTTGCCACTCTCACATTCGGATCACTTAATCTGAACTACCAACATCTCTTCTCCCCCAGCAGTCTACACCCCACCACCACCCCACTACTATGGCATAAATGCTGTCCCCTCCATACTTCACTCCAGCTCTGATGAAGAGTCATCCAGACTCGAAACGTTAGCTTGCTCTCTCCCCATGGATGCTGCCTGACCTGCTGTGACCTCCAGCATTTGTTGTTTTCAGTACGGATCCCAACATCTTGCTCCTACATTATAGTTCCCCCTGATTTATCCCTACTGCCCTTCTTGAGTAGTGGTGCTACATTAGCTGTTCTTCAGTGTGCTGACCCCTCTTCTGCAACCAGAGGTGATTTGAAAACTAATGTCAGAGCCCCAGCAATCTCCTCCCTCGCCTCCCCACAGCAGCCTGGGATTCATCTCATCTGAGGGGAGAGATAGTAGGAACTGCCGATGCTGGAGAATCTGAGATAACAAGGTGTAGAGCTGGATGAACACAACAGGCCAAACAGCATCAGAGGAGCAGAAAGCTGACGTTTCGGGTCTAGACCCTTCTTCAGAAATGGACCCTTCTATCCGCCTCCCCCTCTCTCCCTATTTATTTCAGAATCCCCTTCCCCTCCCCAATTTCTGAAGAAGAGTCCAGACCCGAAACGTCAGCCTTCCTGCTCTTCTGACGCTGCTTGGCGTGCTGTGTTCATCCAGCTCTACACCTTGTTATCTCTTCATCTCATCTGGGCCTTGATGTTTATCCGAGCCTGTTAAAACCTCTCGACGGTAATTTGTTAAAGTCAATCACAGCCCTCCCTCCTGCTTTCTGTACCCACATCGTCCTTCTCTACAGTGAATACAGAAGCTCGGATGCAACAGGCATCGATATCCAACTGTGTTTCATAAATCTGTTTCACCAACTGCTGTGCTGGCAGGGGGGACGTGGCAAGGGGGAGGTCAGGCACCGCTGTAACACATTCATTCAAAGTTTGCTAAGATCTAGAAAAGCAGCAGCTGTACAAACACCCATTGTCTTGCTATCCGAGACCTCCCACTTTAAAATCCTCTTTATTTTTTTGGACTTACTTATCGGAGAACTGCCACCCACACAGAGGAAAATATTTTGTCATTCACACTTTGAGCGGCTGCTGAGTGATTGCTCCTTCGCACTCAAAACGCACACGTGACCCTAATTTGTTTCTTTCCTACCAACATCTCGTCACTTCAGTGCCCTGGGTTGCTGCTCATACAAGCACGCTTTCCCCGCTAACCTTCAAAAGCATGATGCACGAGATGATTAAAAAGATTTGACGGCAGATAGTGAGAAAACAACTTCTTTTTCTGGGGAAGCCCACAACAAAGAGGGCGTGGCCTTAAAATATGAGCTTTGCAATGCAGGACTGATGCCAGGAATGCTCCACAGAATGTAGTGTAATCGTGGAACTCTATCCCACTGGAAGCTGTGGAGACTCGGGATCAATTGACAGTACAAAGGGGAGATTTATTGATTGATTGATTTTTGAGAGGATTAAGGGTTAGGAAACTGAGGAGGAGGTGTTGTAGATCAGCCATGATCTAACTGAATTGCAGAACCATGCAAAGGGGCTGAACGGCCTCCTCCTCATGTCCCTAAAAACATGAATGTCCGAAACCATGGCGCATGTGTGTGGGTGTCCACAAAGTGATCCCAATGCAACATTGAATAGTATCCTTCCCTAAGCTTTTACAGAACATTGGGATAAGGTTGGCGTTTTCTGGATGGCAGCCTACAACTAGTGGTGTGCTGCAGGGATCAGTGCTGGGGCCGTAATTATTTAATATTTATTTACGGAAGTGAATGTATTGTCGCTAAGTTTGCAAATGACATGAAAGTAGGTGGGAAGGTAAATGATGAGAATGGTACAAAGTGTCAGCAGAGGTTATGTGAATGGGCAAAACCTTGGCAGGTGGAATATAATGCAGGAAATGTGAGGTTATGTACTTTGGCAGGAAGAATAGAGAAGCTAAAAATTATTTACATGGAGAAAGGCAGCAGAAAGTGGCAGCAGGTCGAGCTTTGGGCATCCTCATGCATAAGTCATTTAAAAAAAAGCACACAGTTTCAGCGGGTAATAGGGAAGGCAACTGGAATGTTGGCCTTTGTTACAAAGAGAATTGAGTATAAAATTGAGTATAAAACTGTACAAGGCCCTAGTCACATCACAACTGGAATACTGGCACTGGAGGCAGCACCAGAGAAGGTTCATAGGCTGATACCAGGTATGCAGGAACTGTGTTATGAGGAGAGGTTAAGTAGATTGGGCTTGTACTCATTCAGATACAGAAAAATGAGAGGCAACTTCATTGAAACATACAGAAATCTTAGGAAACTTTACAGGGTAGATGCAGGAAGGTTGTTTCCCCTTGTGGGAGAGTTTAGGACTGGGGGCATAATTTCATAATAAGGGGTCACACATTGAAGAGAGAGATGAGGAGGAGTTTTCTCTCTGAGGGGAATGAATTTGCAGAATCCTTTACTGCAGAGGGCTGTTGAGACCGGGTCATTAAGTATATTCAAGGCTGAGATAGACAGAATTTTAATCCAACAGGCTAAGCAGCATCATAGGAGCAGAAAGGCTGATGTTTCGGGCCTAGACCCTTCTCCCGAAACGTCAGCCTTTCTGCTCCTATGATGCTGCTTGGCCTGCTGTGTTCATCCAGCTCTGCACCTTGTTGTCTCGGATTCTCCAGCATCTGCAGTTCCTACTATCTCAGAATTTTAATCCATAAGGGTTATAGGGAAGAGGCAGGAAAATGGAGTTGAGGATATTTGCTATGATCGCATTGAATCGCACAACAGACTCGATGGGCTGAGTGGCCTATTTCTGCTGCTATGTCTTATGTCCTTGTGGTCTTTTTTCAGAACAAACCACTGAAGAGGATGTGTGCTGGCAGGCTGTGAGCAGTCAAATTGTTTGTGGGTCACCCCTGGTGGATCGGAGGACTACCTATACTGAGTGCTGCTGTATGTATGGAGAAGCCTGGGGTATGGACTGTGCTCTTTGTCCCCGTCGAAACACAGGTGAGAAAGACTTACCCAGTCATTTACACTTAACACTTTTCCTGAAGAATAGAAGTGAAGTGGTGGGATCATGAGAGTGGTAAGAAAAAGGAAATGTCCTGTGGTTTATTGTAAGAACATATTTCTCTCTGATTGCAGTTTACCAGTTAATAAACCTGAAATAGTGTTGTGAGTCTGAGGGCTGTTTTAATCTTTTTGGAAAAAGGGTCGGTAAATTCAATGGAATTGGGGATGCCACAATCCACAATCATTTCTCTTCATTTTCAAATTTGGTGAAACTTGTCTGAGCATTGTCGGACAATTCTCCATCTCCAAAGCAGTGGCTGGTCATAATCTGTGAATTGTGCACCTGATCATCTCAAGGAATGTGAGAAATCGGCGAAGGTCCAGCAGGGGTGAGACACTGGGCGCCATTCAGATTATTGGCTTCACACATCTCAAACGCGAATGGGTGTTGGCTCTTACAGTTCCTGCTGGTACACAGACTGCCTCAAACAGAGGATTACCAAGCAGATTTATGGCCCCAGCGATAATTAAACAATCATTCCCATGACCTCATTTAGATTGTGGTTTATAATCATTCCATGTTCAATCACTCCACTTCTGAATAACCATTACTCTTTATTTAGTCCCTCTGCAACATGTTGGCTGACAATTTGCAATATCATAAATGGATGCCTTCGTTTTTCTTGTTCTGCTTTTACCCTTGTCTCGACCTTATGAGAGCTCTGTTAGCTACATGACAGCACGGCATTCCACTTGGAGTGACACGGGAAATTTACTCACATCTTGGGAATGGTTTGGTGTCCAAACTGATGCCAGGTTGCACTCCACAGCCAACAGACCGATTTAAAAAAAAAACACACACGCACAAATGCCATCGAGTCATAGATTCATGCAGCACAGAAACAGACCCTTTGGTCCAACCAGTCCATGCTGAACACAATCCCAAACTAAACTAGTCTCACCTGCCTGCTCCTGGCCCATATCCCTCCAAACCTTTCCTATTCATGTACTTATCCAAATGTCCTTTAAATGTTGTAATTGGACCTGCATCCACCCTCTGTGTAAAAAATTTTCCCCCTCATGTCTTTTTTAAATCTCTTTCCTCTCTCCTAAAAAGTGTGTCCCCTAGTCTTGAAAACCGATGTCCTAGGGAAAAGACAACTACCACTAACTCTGTGTGGAGCTGGAGGAACGCAGCAGGCCAGGCAGCATCAGAGGAACAAGAAAACTGACATTTCGGGTTGGGACCCTTCTTTTTCCTGAAGAAGGGCCTGGCCTGCTGTGTTCCTCCAGCTCCACACTGTGTTATCTCTGACTTCAGCATCTGCAGTTCTTGCTATACCACTAACTCTATCTGTACCCCTCAAGATTTTATAAACATCTACAAGGTCGCCTCTCAACCTCCTACGCTTCAGTGTGAAAAGTTCCGGGCTATCCAGCTTTTCTCTATAACTAAACCTTTCTGGTCCATTTGTTGATAGATTTGGGGAAACGGAACAAGGAATCCATTCTGCTGCTTTTCCTCTTGTCTGAAGGACAATGTCTGTGTTATCAGATCCCTCCACTCCACCCTTGTCTCTCTGTCTTCATGCAGTGTATGTAAGCAAATAGCATGGTATTGTGTGAACTCTTAATGATAAGATGTCTCATTGCCATGCAAGGTTATACAATTAGGTCTCTACAGTAAAGCACCAGCTGTAGTACTAGGAGATAGTAAGATCTGCCAATGCTGGAGTCAGAGATAACACAGTGTGGATGCTGGAGTCAGAGATAACACAGTGTGGAGCTGCATGAGCACAGTGGTCCAGGCAGCATCAGAGGAGCAGGAAAGTTGACATTCAGACCTGAAACGTCAACTTTCCTACTCCTCTGATGCTGCCTGGTCAGCTGCAGTACAAAACCAGGCACACCTGAGCCTCAACCCATTAGTATTTTCCGTTGACTTAGTCCATTCACTGTCTAATTTTAAAATGGCACTTCTAAAGCATTGAAGTTGCAGGTTTCCCTAGCAGCACTTCTTGACATGGGCTGTGTCTTCTGCTAATCGGATAATAATGTGACAAGTGTGAACTTATTCAGTGTTATATCCGTCAATGTGTGCTGCTTCTGAATTGACCTGGACATGAAACCAAATCCGAAGGTCTGGCCTCTTTATTCCGGCACTAAACTGAAATGTAGGAATTTCCTGAGTTTAGATTGCACATTATGGAAAAGGCTGGCATGGATGTCAGGTTCGCTACTGCCACCTACTGATAGTGTGGACAAAGCACCGTTGAAGATCATCAGGATTATATCCCTTATTACTGAAAAATCCAGTATTATAGCAAATCGTAAAGTTTGCAAAATCGCACCTGAGAAACCTAACCCCTTGTCTATGTAACAAGCAAAAATTAATTTATCACAAAGTGATTTGGGATGTTGTAAATGAGGGATTGGCATAGCTTGGCACCAGTGTGTGCCATCTACTAGGTGCTGGGCAGTAACACTACAGGTGCTTCTCCAGTTCTTCACAAAACTGTGACCCTGACCATCTAGAAGGACGAAGGCAGCTGGCAAACAGAGCACCACCACATACAGGTTCCCCTCCAGGTCATGCGCCAGCCTGACCTGGAGTCACCGTATTGACATTCCTTCACCGTCGCTGGGCTAAAATCCTGGAAATCCCTCCCAAACCTCACCCCGTGGACTGAAGCGGTTTCAGGAGGCAGCTCACGCCCAGGGAAATGAGGGATGGATGATAAATGCGGGCCCAGCCGGAAATGCCCGCTTCCTCGGAAGAAAAGGTTTTTTTTAAAAAAAAGGCATTTTCCCCCGTGTGAACCATAAGCGAGAAATCTCAATGCAGTTGGAATTCCACCTGCTATGTTGGCAGTGCTCCCGTGTGACCACATTCAGCAGGATATTTGGCAGTAACAACAGTCCCAAAACAGAAAATGTCATTTACCATTCCTGTCGCTCAATCTCCTCCGATGTCAACTGTCCACTCAGCTAATTCTTGAATTTACTTTCGTCCAATGACAGCAGAAAGACTAAAATATTCTCTACGACATGTACTTACTGTTTTGGGAGGCATTTTTCCTCATTTTGAAAGTGGCCTCCTAAGATTTAGGTGGCACAGTGGCTCAGTGGTTAGCACTGTTGCCTCACAGCACCAGGAACCCGCGTTCAATTCCACCCTCGGGCAACTGTCTGTGTGGAGTTTGCACATTCTCCCTGTGTCTGCGTGGATTTCCTCCAGGTGCTCCAGTTTCCTCCCACAGTCCAAAGATCTGCAGGTTAGGTGGATTGGCCATGCTAAGTTGGCCATAGTGTCCAGGGCTTTGCAAGCTAGGTGGGTTAGCCGTGGGAAATATGGAATTACGGGGTTGGGGGGGTGTGGGAGGTGGAGATTGCTAGGTCTGGGTGGGATGGTCAGACATGATGGGCTGAATGGCCTCTTCCTGCACTGTAGGGATTCTATGATTGTAAATTTTCTATGCACTGTTGAAACTTGCAGTGTTGGGGTGCCAGAAGTGAAGGCATTTTCTATAGCATGCTTCTTTCAGGTAATTAGCTAGACACAACGTAGGACCATTGGCATCTCTTTCCATTCGACAGAGACCATTAGCTGTTTAGGACAGGATGGGCCGCATTCCTCACCAGGAAAGGGTCAGGAGGAAGATATCCATGAGCTGCCACAGATGGTCCAGGAATTGAACCTGTGACATTAGCATTAATCTGCTGTATATTTGAACTGTTTCGAGGATTCGTATTTCCTAACCAACCCATTCAGATATATTATGACACCTCTGTAGCAGGTGGGACTTGAACCCAGGTCTCCTAGCTCAGAGGTAGGGACACTATCACTGTGCCACAAGAGGTAATGATGTCTTTTTAAAAATTATGCATGATTAAACCAGTTCTGAAATCTACCCCTGGAAAGAAAGACAAAGTAATTACTGTACAAGCTAAATTATTTTAAAAATTAAGCATTTGGCAAAACAGTGTTGGGTTAACGGTGGCTTTCTGTGATTGTGCAAAATAGGTGATAGTGAATTGGCTGTCTTTGTTCTCTCTCTCCTGACTTTTATTTCATTGGCATCAATCTGTAGAGATGTGAAATGGGTGGCTCATTCACTATTAACCATTTCACACTATTAAATAAAGACAAGATTGCTCAAGTATGTTGCTGGCATCATAATATCACAAGGTATCACAAATATCAGGGACACCCTCAAGGCTTCACTGGCAAAGTGCTGCATTCCCACAGACACCTGGGAATCTCTGGCCCAAGGCTGTCCAAAGCAGAGGAGGAGCATCAGGGAAGGTGTCGAGCACCTTGGGACTTGTTAATCAGGGAAAAAGCGGAAGCCGGAGAAAAACAGCATAAAGGAGCGCACTGCCGCACCAACGCCCCACTCACCCCTTCCTGTGACCACCTTCTGCCCCAAGTGTAACAGAGCCTGTAGTAGCCACATTGGTCTGTACAGCCACATGCGGACTCGCCCTGAGAGTGCAATAGAGTCATCCTCACCTGAGAGGGACCGCCGATGCTAATGTGATGAATGAATATCATGAGAAACACAAAACTCAGAGGTCATTCAGTTCATTCGTCCAGTATGTTTCCTATAACAATGCTGTTGCTTAAGGGCATCCACTGTGGGAGCAGGCCATTCGGCCCATTGAGTCCACACTGACCCTCCAAAGAGCATCCCACCCCCACTACCCTAACCCTGTATTTCCCATGGCTAACCCACCTAGCCTATACATCTCTGGGCACTATGGGTAAATTAGCATGGGCCAGTCCACCTAACCTGCACATCTTTGGACTGCAGGGAGAAATTGGAGCACCAGGAGGAAACCAATGCTGACATGTGGAGAATGTGAAAACTCCACACAGACAGTCACCCGAGGGTGGAATCAAACCCAGGTCCCTGTCTCTGTGAGGCAGCAGTGCTAACCACTGAGCCACCTTGCCTTGTTCCTTCTGCTGCCTTCCCTGAGAGTCCATTCAGTTCCATTGTGTGGTTTGAACTTTCTGACCTCAGTAGTGGCACACTGGACATTGTGACAGGAGCAACTGAGACTCTGCTGCGATGTTTGTACCTGCCATCTCCCAAAGCTTGAAAGAAAGAGAAAATCTGTATCGATGGAGTGCCTTTCATACCCTGAGGACATC